GTTCGTATTGTTTAATGATCGATTCCAGTGCGGATTCATTAGGTTTTCCTCCCTGTCTTCGTCTCGCCAGTGATCTTGTGGTGAATCTGACCACAAGTTGTAAGATCTGCTCGGCTCATCGCTCAATTTCTTTGAATGATTTTTCGATTGAGTATCATGATTTTTGTATTTTTTTTTGTTTTAGAATGTTCTAGAACGTTTTCGTTCCGGTTGCGCAATCAATTGTTTTCTAGCCTAAATCTCATGCAGTCTAAAATTTTTTGAAAGGGTTCAGTTGCTGTTATTATTAATTTTTTGTCTAGTTCCGATTCGAGCCACGGATCTTTATACGGGTCTCGTGACGAATAGTCACTGATTGCCATGTCCTTCCTTGTAATGTGAACTATTTTGAACTGTGAGGGCAATAACCTATCTACTCACCGAGTTAACCTGGATTGATATGTTTTGTTTTATCTGCACCCATCTAAGACTGACGTTAGGGCTTTGGTCAGTTGCGTTATGGTCAGTTGCGATGATGAACTCCCTTCCTAATAGCTAATTTTTGTATCTGTCAACTGTCCAAACAACCGCCAGAAATTCAAGCTCAATTGAAGAGTATTTTTTTTTCGTTTTTGTTCAGGTATCTAGATGCGAAGAAATAGGGAATCAGGCCCCTTCGTTTGTTTCCATTTCTAGGGTGGCCCCAATTCATTGTGACTGGCGTCGCATTTAACCCTTGTCTTTCTATTTGCATCATAGTAATTTACCTAAGGATGTTATCAACTGCGTTTTTTATACTCTCGAAAACGGCTGTATTTTGTCCCTCCACTCGAACTCTTTCACTGGCAGTTTCATATTTTTCTCTTTTTTTAGGAGTGGTCGGAGCGTATCTGTAAGGCTTGCCGCGTTAAGAACAATTTTTTATAAATAATTTATACTACCAAAAAATGATCTGAATTGCTTTGGCGATTTAGGTGGATGAAGATTCTGAATAGCCTCTGTTTTGGTCAATTCTGGTCTGACTCCCGACTCTGATTGGTGATGGCCAAACCAATCTACCTCATGTTTGAAGAATTCACACGTTGAAATTTTTAACGCCAAGTTTGTCAAGGTTTTGCAAGACCCTTTTCACTAATTTGTCATGTTCTAGCTCCTCTCCTTTGATACAATGAGGATATCATCAAAAAAATAATTTTGTAATCTTTGCATGATTAATGGTTCTGTACATGGTTTTTGGAATTCGGACGGCATATCTGGTGAGCCGTAGAGCCGGTTAGAAATCTAGAAGTGTCTGTAGTATTACCGCCTACAATATTCAAATTACACAGGCGAGCAGTATCTAAATTTAATTGAGTTTAGGCACACTTTAGATCGAGTACCATGAAGTAAAGTGTGATTTTTTTGTTCTCGAGGACAATTTGGCTGAATCCATCTTTAGTTCCACAACGTTTGGCATTTGGTAATTATTTTGGAAAAGTTGCCTATTGACTGGCTTTGCATCTAATGGCAATTTGATGGAATACTTTTTTTCTAATGTTATTAACGATTGGTGCAAGGAAACAGTCACTGGTAAACTTGTCCAATTTCATAACGTGGCCTTCCGATAAAAAAAATTCTGGATTTCCGCTTGTTTTTTGTTTTGTATGTGGTTTGGTAATATTCTCGCCTGGTAATGAGTCCTTAATTTTTTAAGAATTTATTTTTCCAACCTTTTGACTACTCGCACAGTAGCACGTCAAACCTTGACAACTCCCATGGTGTTAGTCTTTGAGTCGTCGATATGTCTACTTGTCCCTGGAGGTCCAGACCCATGATGCATCTGGTTCTGCGTTCTGTGATCAAGAACGTAGCTTCCTTTTTTTCTCAGCCAGCCGAACGTAGGTTGGTCTTTACTGCCCCAGGATACATTTTGGTTGGTAGTTGTAATCCACAAATTGCGCCACCAGATTGAATTTCACTGCCGGGATGAATCTTGATCTTTTCGACTTTCCTAATATTTTTTTTGTCGTTTCCAGTTTACGAGCGACTCGGCACTTCCCGTTTCCACTGTTTGTTGTTTTTATCTGTTTTACTTTTCGGAGCATAGCCTTAAGGGACTTTATTTTGTTAGATTTGTCTAATTTGTCATGTTCTAGCTCCTCTCCTTTGATACAATGAGGATATCATCAAAAAAATAATTTTGTAATCTTTGCATGATTAATGGTTCTGTACATGGTTTTTGGAATTCGGACGGCATATCTGGTGAGCCGTAGAGCCGGTTACAAATCTAGAAGTGTCTGTAGTATTACCGCCTACAATATTCAAATTACACAGGCGAGCAGTATCTAAATTTAATTGAGTTTAGGCACACTTTAGATCGAGTACCATGAAGTAAAGTGTGATTTTTTTGTTCTCGAGGACAATTTGGCTGAATCCATCTTTAGTTCCACAACGTTTGGCATTTGGTAATTATTTTGGAAAAGTTGCCTATTGACTGGCTTTGCATCTAATGGCAATTTGATGGAATACTTTTTTTCTAATGTTATTAACGATTGGTGCAAGGAAACAGTCACTGGTAAACTTGTCCAATTTCATAACGTGGCCTTCCGATAAAAAAAATTCTGGATTTCCGCTTGTTTTTTGTTTTGTATGTGGTTTGGTAATATTCTCGCCTGGTAATGAGTCCTTAATTTTTTAAGAATTTATTTTTCCAACCTTTTGACTACTCGCACAGTAGCACGTCAAACCTTGACAACTCCCATGGTGTTAGTCTTTGAGTCGTCGATATGTCTACTTGTCCCTGGAGGTCCAGACCCATGATGCATCTGGTTCTGCGTTCTGTGATCAAGAACGTAGCTTCCTTTTTTTCTCAGCCAGCCGAACGTAGGTTGGTCTTTACTGCCCCAGGATACATTTTGGTTGGTAGTTGTAATCCACAAATTGCGCCACCAGATTGAATTTTACTGCCGGGATGAATCTTGATCTTTTCGACTTTCCTAATATTTTTTTTGTCGTTTCCAGTTCACGAGCGACTCGGCACTTCCCGTTTCCACTGTTTGTTGTTTTATCTGTTTTACTTTTCGGAGCATAGCCTTAAGGGACTTTATTTTGTTAGATTTTGGGTCTAAAAACAGATAGATTTTTTTGTATTTAAACTACCGCCAATTTTTTTTTGACTCGTTCCTTTTAATCTCTCTTTGACTTATCTCAAAATGTTTTCTCTCTTTGGTTTGTTTGTTTGCACCGTACTGATCTCGAATTCTGTGCAAGACCCGAAGTCTTCCACTACCAGGTTACACTCCTCTTCTGATTTGTTAGAATCTTCCGTCATTTCGCTCACCTGTTGTGCTCTACTCATTTTTTTGAAATGATTGTGTTTGTTGCATCTTGCATGTATTTCCCATGGCCGAAAAAGATTTCAGCTGTCCAGCTTCATATGTGTGTCCACTTAGAATAGAGTAATTGGTTTGTCCATTTGATATTTTGGATCTATTGCTGTTTTGCTACCTGTTGTTGTCTTTTTTGAAAGGTTGTTTTCTACTTCCCACATTTGAACTTCTCACTGCCAAATACTGTTCTACTTCAATACCCGAGTTTTAGGATGTTGTCGTTTCCGCAGTTGCTGCCGCATTTTTTTTGGAACGCCAATGTTTTCAGTTTACTATTTTCTAATTTTAAAGCCCGTTTCAGCACATCGACCGGTGCGAGCGTTTCGAATGTCGGCGTATACTGTAGGGTCATGTTTTTCGTTTTTAAGAAAACCAGATCACGAACTATCTCATCCTACAGAGTTACCAACTCAGATCTTACTGCTTGTGCAGTCAGTGCCGTATCAAAAACTTCTCCCTGTTCCTGCGTTTTCGCGAATTGTTTGTATCTTTCGTGTGTTACACATTTCTTTTTTGGAATGATATTGATGCCAACTCGATCATTTCCTTGACTGACGCGTGGAGATTCTTTTGCAGAAACCTCTTCTTTCCCTCAGTCCCCAGAAAAAGGAATAGTCTAGATACGAGCTTATTTTGCACTTCATTGTAAATAAATATTGTAACTAACTCACGGGCCTCGTGTTCTTCTCTCGTCTCTGGCTAGGTTGTCCCTAATATTTTTTAGCTGCTATTGCAGTTGCGTTTTTTCCATCCCTCGATGTTTTCGGTCTGGGGGTAGTTCTTCCGTTATGTCTCCTGGGTCTTCAAGCATAATCTCTGGGTTAACGTTTTCCTTGACGGTGACGGCCATTAGGAATTGTTCTAACCAAATTTTAAATTGCCACGGTGGGTCTAGATTTGCTGATGCCCATAATACTGGTTTTACCATATCAGTACGATTGTCCCGAGCGGAGAACCCTGCTGGCTGCGCCATGTGATATCCTACTGGACTACTGTGAGATAAAATTGATTTACAATTCCAAAGAATTTACTTTTTATTTCTTATAATAGTTTTTTTTCTGTTAGAGTTGCTGAGATCAACTCGTTTTTAAATTGGTGTGATTGATCCAGCGGCATACCAAAGGTTTGAGCTACAGTTATCTGGGACATTATGATAGGATATAAATAGATTAAGATATCCATCACTCAAGGTTAGGTAACGTTACTGCTAGTACAGTAGCAGTACCACATTGATGATTCTGAAAATCCTGCTGAAAATTTCATTAAAAAAATTCAATTATTTTCTGGAGAAAAAATGACGCCGAGCACAAGTTTTCCGTCAGTTTCTTCAAAAAATGGAAACATATTACGAACCAAAGTATGAGAACCAGGAAAAAATCTGATATTACTCTTTTCTATTTGATTCAGCAGAAATATATGAAATTCGAATGATCTGGCTCTGTACAACTATGCGGTTTATCTACGAATTCAATCGTAGAGGCATATGCAGGGGAGTAGTTGAAATAAAATCTCGTATCAAAAATATTGATACCCAGCAAAAAAAATTGAACGTAAGACTTGTTTGCAGTGACTCGTCTGGCGTGGTTACCGCTGCTGTGATTAAAATCTTGTTCCTGGTCAACTTATTCAGAAAATGAGCAAAAAAGTACTAACAGCTGGAGAAGCATATGGGGCACTCTTGGGTGTCGAGAGGGAACATGCCCAGCTGGAGGGGACATCTGGTCTTGATGAGGATGCGGGTGGAAGACAACACATCCCCATTCGTCTTCAAAAGAGTGATCTTGCTCTGCGACACCTCCGCTGAAAGTAAAAATTTGATGCCGGCTTTCATAAAAATAGATGTCATCACTAGCTCGCATGTGTCGCCTTCTTCATTGGAGGTAAGATTTGATGTGTACGGCGTGTCTTCACTTACATGGTGTGTCCTCCTCGACGGCGTCTACGAAGTATATGTTTGGTCTCCAGATGGCGGCCGCGTAGTGTCCCTTGACGATGACAGTGGCGTCTGCAGATTCGTTACTACTCAGCCTCTTAGCCATAGCTGTGAGGCGATGGTCGTTCCAGAATGCACGAACGTACAGGTCCGAACTCATACTCTACAGATTAAAAAAACGATGAAGTACATGCATGCAATTAAGTGAGATTGAAAGCGAGTGCGATCGGGTTTCGTTGCACTGAGTGACAAGATATACCACTGTCCACTGCTATCATATGGAACCGAGTCCTAAATCTGGACAGTTGCTTCATTTCATGCTCTCTGAAAATTTAAGTAATAGCTGCTGGGTTGTACGGAAAAAAAACTTCCTGGCAAAAACTTTTTTAAAAAATCAATGCTTGAATTAGTGAAAAATACTTGAAACATTGACATACCATCGAAGATTCGGAAATTGGCCCAATTTGATAGACGTGAATGCCAAAGCCAATGAAGTCTGCAGCTGGAACATAAACAAAACAGAGAATTAGACAAAAACTCTTAAAATATATCAGTCAATTGAAAAATCTTTTCTCGAAGCGCTACACATCAAGTTGACAAACTAAGTTAGTAGAAGAGAGGGTTTCTGTTTAGATGATTACAGCTAATTCTTCTTCTATTTCAACACCGAGCGCCCATTGATTCTAATTGATTCAGTTATAATGGATTCCCGAGACAAAAAAAAATCCATTATAATTCATTAAAGATGTAAAGTTCAGACCACGAAATGGATTTTATTGCCATTATAATCGATTAATTTTGAAAAAAAAAACCATTATATCCAATTATAATCCATTGTTTGGCACTGAAATTGATTGTTTTTGCCAAGATAATCCATTATAATTTATTTTAAAATAAAAACCAATTAGAAACCATTATAATCGATTATAATCCATTTTATTTATAGAAATAAATTCGAATATTTTTGCTGAAACTTTCAAGAATTTTAAAATTTTTCAAGAATTTTACAAAATGTATGCCATGTCTTTTACTGCATGCCATGTCTCAACGTCAGCTCCTCATGTTTTTTTACCTGGGGTGGGGGTAAACGGGGGGGGGAACGGGGGAGATTAAAGTTGGAGGTTGAATCATTACCCCCCCTCCCATTCTACCATTAAATTATTCCACGCTACCACCATTCAATAACGAGTTTTGTAAATTAAATCATTTATCTCCTATTTTAATTACTTTTTGCATTTTACCGAGTTTTTTCAACCTCCGATTTTGGCGAATATTGGAAAATCTGTCCCAAAAATCTAACGTTTACATTTTTACTCTTTGCATCATGATAGATTTTTTAAAAAACCGAGAAAACATTTTTCGTTGACCCGGGGTATTTCATGCCGAGCATATGTCATTGCAATTCTATACGCGTCATTCTTTGCTAAGTAACAATAATGCTTTCAAGGCCATCCACCTGCTGCCGTGAAAAGGTGACACTCTGCCGAGAATGTTCATGTCAACCTATTCATTTAAGCTCCTTTGAACTTCTTTTCACATTTTAGCAATTTTTATCAATATAAAGCGGTGTTTATCTCAGTTATATCAATTTTTATCACAGTAAAGTGGTGACATCTCTCATTGCTAGAGTATGTTAATTGCCTGTTTGTCGACTTACGATACAGGCCTATCTTGTTTTGTTATTGTTCTGACTTTCGATACGAAAGTAACGGAATATTTGTGCTCGGGGTGGGTTTTTTTCTTCAGCCAAATTTCGACTTTTTAACTAACCATTTTTGACGGAATTTTTTATATCATTCGAAAGGTATTGTTGTCCTGAGCTCAAATTTGAAAAGATATTTCAACTGTGATCATTTTTCGTAAAGTTACGGGGGTTTAAAATTTGCCATTTTGGCCAATTTGGGACAATTAATGCGCGATATATTTCGCGCTATTAACGCGTAAGCGGAGAGTTAATCCGTCTTAGAAATCGTTCCAAGTTGGTTAAAAGAAGCTTATTCGCCATAATTGGTTTGTTACAAGGAGTGAAATCTATCCTTTTGTTCTTTATATGGCGTGTGTGTGTGTGTGTGGGGGGGGGATGATTTTCATAAAAATTACAATATTCAGAAATTTTTTTTTTTCATTTTGTTTTATTTCATTGATTTTTTAAATTTTTATTACTGCTCAATAAACCTTAAAAGACAGTCGGAACATTAAGGGCTTCGCCCTGATACTAGCAGTCTTGTTTTTCTTATGTCAATTCTATATCAAACTCTAAAACCTGAAACAGATGATTTGTTCAATTATCATTAAATGCAAACCAGTTCGGATACTATTTATACAACTAATATTGTCAATCTGTTTTTTCAGTTCTTATTGTTCCGACTTTTGTAACGAAAGTAACGGAATATTTGTGCTATTGTGGGTTTTTTTCTTCAGACAAATTTCGACTTTTTAACTAGCCATTTTTGACGTATTTTTTTTTATCATTCAAAAAATTTTGTTACCCTGAGCTTAAATTTGAAAACATACTTTACCTGTGATCATTTTTTGTAAAGTTAGGGATGTTTAAAGGTTGCCATTTTGGCCAATTTGGGTCATTTAATGCGCGATATTTTTCGCGCTATTAACGCGTTAGCGGAGATTTAATCCGTCTTAGAAACCGTTCCAAATTGGTTGAAGGAAGCTAACTTGCCATAATTGATTTGTTACAAGAAGCGAAATCTATTCCTTTGTACTTTAAATGGCGTATGGGGGGATGATTTTTACAAAAAAATCTCAAATTTTAGAAAAAAATTTCATATTATTTTATTTCGTTTTTTTTTAAATGTCATTACTGCTCCATAAACCTTAAAAGGTAGTCGGAACATTCAGGGCTTCGCCTTAATACGAGCATTCTTGTTTCTTTTTCGATTCACATTTTATCGAGTTTTATCATCTCAGAACTCGGTAATTTTCAAAAAGCTTTTAAAAGTTTTTATTCCATAAGTTGTTAAAATGTGAATCACTGCTGATGATTATTTGTGAATCCTGATCCTCATTCTGCGTGGGAAAAAAATATACAGAAAAAAATTAAAACACACACGAAGAAAAAGCTCTTACTATTTTTGATTGTCGGAAAAAATAGATTCAATGCTTTGACAGTTTTAGTGCCATTTTCAGTCCCTTTTTTCAAAGTAATATGGAAAACAAATTTTCCTTCCTCATGCGGTCTATCAGTTGGCTGCAGTAATTCCTCAATAATGATGAAAAGACATTTTAGTCTGGAGCTAATTTATGGAAGTTTAATTACATGCTATTTGTTATTTAAAAATCAAATTCGCTTCCAGGAGCGTTGAGACTTGGAATAACAACGCTCAAATACTATTTTTGGTAGAGAAATAACCTTTTTTCGAGTTTTTGTGTTCACTCAACTGTCCAAATGTGACTTTTATATGACAAGCCTTTTCATAGAAAGAACTTCTTCAATGTTATTTCGTGGAAATTTGGCAAATAAGTTCCCGATACCTTTGTTTGACCTATGCTGTCTTGATAAGTTAGAAACCCTTTAGAAAATTATAGCCAAGCAATTACCCAAGGAAAGGGAATAGCCCAAGGAAGGAGCTTAAGCATCAGCTGTTTCAGCTACGGCAGCTAAAACTACAGATAAGTTTATCCCGTTAAAATCTCCTCTCGAATTCATCGGTGAAGTAAGCGTAAAATTTAGTTTTTCCATTTAAAAAAAATCTTTTGTGGCTTTGTATCGAATATTTGTTACAAATATAATTTGCTGAGTGAACGGAATAATCTATTTTTAAACTTTTCCAACCCATTTTTATTGCAAAGTCATTAAAATTAATTCGTGCTGCTGCTTTTAACTCCCATTATTTTAATGACCTTGTCTCATGCAGGACTCCGACAAAAACAGCATATAAAAATTCAGAGTAAAAGTCATTTTTTTTCTCTTAAAGTCACAAAAGATTTGATTGAGCGTACGTAAAAAAAGTTGCACAAATTTAAAAATCTACGTTTCAGGTGCATTCATCATTTTTGAAAATTTTGTTCTAAAAGTTACATTAGAAATATAGTTTGAATTAAATGTTTTTTTTTGTAAATATTCAGAAACTTTATTATTGTTGCTAATTTCTTCTATATTTGATCAATTGCTGAAACAAATACATGTAGTTAAAGAACGTTTTACTTGGTTAAAAGAATGCGAGTTTAAGAGAACGTGGTTAAAGAAATGTTGAAGGAAATGCAAAGGAATGCAAAAAACTGACCAGATCATTCGCAAAGTTTGCAGTCTATAAAAAGGTGAAGCAACAAAAAGAAAACTGCAGGTTCATAAAATTCAGCATTGAATAATTTTCAAAGTATTCTATACTAAAATGTCCTACCTTAAGTATAGCTACCAAATAACTCATATCTATTAAATATAGCTAATTTTTTGTACAATTTCTGCAAGGTTTTGAATTACCGCACTGACAAACTTGAGATTGAAATTGATTTTGAAAATTTTTTTTTACAGATAATATGCTGTATAGAAATCGATTTACGATAGCCAATTTACATGCGTATTTTGATTTAGAATGGGTTCATTGGGTTCTTACGGTGGAAAAAAATTATTTTATTGCTCAAGAAAGTTTCCAATAGGGCTCCTGAGAGCAAGAGTCAGTGGAAGAGATAAGTTCCCGCGTAAAGGTGATTCATTTTCAAATTAAGCAAAACCAAGGGTTTCCGCGGTAATGAGAAGTAAGCCCTTAAAAACGTTTGCTAATGTGATTTTCGTTATCAAAGATCTATCCTCATTTTTTTTCTACAAATAAAATATACTTATGAAATCAAATTAGAAAAATTCATTTTTGCTACTGCATGCTCAAATATTAGTTATCTCCAAAAAATAATTTCAGGCCAACATCAAAACTAAAAGTTTATTGAAAAATATATATTAAAACTTCATTTCCACTGTCTCTCTTTTTGATAGTCTAGAAAATCTGAATTGAATCGGTGTATAACCTTTATAAAATAAGTATAAAAAAATTTAATAATCAATTTGAACTGATTTAAATTTTGTAGTCACTCAAACCCATAGAAAAAAAACCAAAAAAATTTTAAAAAAAAAGTTTATATCGATTTAAAAACGATTGAAATTAATTTATAACCAACATTTTTGTATCAAACTAAACCAAAATTAAGTTGACCCAAATAGATTTTTAAGATCTCTGCTACATTATCTATTTAAAATCGATTGCAAAGCGTTTGTCAAAAAATATTCCGAATGGAAAAACAATTCATGCAAAACTTGCGTTACTTCGCAATAATATGGCTACAAAGAATTGAATTTCAGAAACCAGGGTATTCTTAATTTTGGTTTATTTTGTATTGGCGAGGAATTTTTAATAAAAAAACTTCGACCAGCGCTTTCTTTTTTCTATAGTTTCGTGAAATTCGCCCCTTTCCTCTCGACTGCAACTTCTGATTTCATTTCCTTCATTAATTTTGGTTTCATTTTCTCTAACAACAAGATAGTATAATTGTCATATTGGACTACTTACTGTTTTACTTTCTTTTCACAATTCATAGTTATCTGTTATTTCTGTTATCCCCAAAACTTTTCTAAAAAAATTTATGGGTATTTGAGACAGTGATTATCTTTACGTTATGTTGGCTGAATTTTGAAATATTAACTATATCTATATTAGTTTGCTGATTAAAAAGGAAAGCTGCACCGACAGAAACAATAATGCTTACCTTTCGGGACTGAAACATTCGAACAAACTATTTATTAACCCCATTATGAAGTATAAATAATAGTTTAGAGGGTGAAACATGAAATAACGAACATACTTTACTTTAAACCAGCTGAAAGAATATTATTGCACAACGCGAATAAATAAAACACGGATATTAATTCTGTAATTTGTGTTTTTTTTTTGCATTTAAATTTAAATTTAAGGTAATTCTGAAATGGTTGGTACATTTGAAAAGACTGATTAAACAGTTCAGCTTATCCCTGTTTAGCACATCGTCAGTCAGACTAGAACAAAAAAATTGAATGAACCTTTTCATTACCGTAGTATACAAATTATTTATTTCTGAGGTGAAACACTTATTTAATGATCAAGAAAAGTAAACAGAAATTCGCCAACTTTTCTAACATTTACCTGCTTCCAATCGTATTTTTGATCAAATACTAGAGGATGCAAAAATTAATAGCCTACATTCAGCAACTTTCTGATAAAAAGATTAGAAATAGATAATTTTTGGAAAAATGTTGCTTGGTTTTAAAATTGCTTAGAAAAATCCTGTTTAGATTTTTAGATTAAAAAATAAGTTTTTCTCCTGAGAATTAAAGAACTTACTTAGCACTTGATTGAATGAATACACTCATACACTCAGCCAGACCGTTTTTGGGCTGAGCCAGTATCGAATCCCGATAAAGACGCGTTCTTAGCATGCAAACAGTCTTTTCAAGTACCACTATTTTCCCAAAGCATATATTGCATAAAGTTTTCTTACAAAAAAAATTTTTCTAAAATAATTTCAATACATTGGAACTAAGCAATTTTTAGATAAACCATCAAGCAGCTCACCGCCCAACTAGTTCGTCTTCATTCTACAAGCGAATTTTTTTTTCTGACTTTTGAAGAAAACGGAATATTTACGCTTGGTGTGGTTTTTTATTCAGTCAATTTTCATCGATCGAAATAATAATTTTCAACAAAATCTTTTTATACCCATTGAAGATATCGCCTTCTGAGTAAGTGATATGTAAAAAGATATTTCACTTCTGATTATTTTTTGTAAAAAATCTGGGGGTTTGAAAATTGCCCCATTTGCCATGTTCCGAACTAAATTATGCGCGCTTTGTAGAGTTCATTCATGATGCTGAGAGCGTAATGCGAATTATCTATTCGTGGCGAATTATCCCGCACAACAAAACCGTTCCAAATTGAATTGAGTCTAGCTAATTTGTCGTATTAATTTCTTACGACTCAAAATTTTACACTTTAATTTGGTCCAAAATGTTTAGGTTTCAAATTTTTGTTTCCCAAAAAATGTTCGATATGAATTAAGGGACAGTCGGAGTATTCAGGGCTTTGCCCTGATCTACGAGCAGTTTTGTTTGCATTTAGAATGAAAATGAACTGGCTGAGCGGTGAATTGTTTCAAAAGTTATCTTGTAATTGTTTGGTTAGAATGTAAAAAATTAGAAAGTCACTTAAGCACAAAAAATTGCCAAAATTCCTTAATAAAAATTTTATCTATCTAGAAGTTTTTGGATTCAATTTTAGCCGAATTGAATCCAAAGATACGGGATTTAATTTTAGCAGAAATTTCAACCAATTGTGTCGATATAAGTTGCGTGCTTAATAGTAACTTTATAGAGACGCGGAATGTTGATGAAAACAACTGGCGGTTAACGACGCAAAGCCACTGAGAAAAAATTTTTCTGCAATAATACAAGTTCTAACATGCTTTTATAAACTCATCTGGTTGCGTTGCCGCGTTCTTACTTGACGTGTTAGTATTAGGGCTAGCTTAGGTTACTGAGGCAGGAAGTCAACTAGTTTGAAACCAGCAACACGCTATCATTTAACTAAAATGAACTAATTGTTCTTAGCTCACAGAAAGTTTTGTGGTAATTGAGAGACAAATTTCAAGTTTTTATAAGTTGAAAGCAACTTGTAGCGCTGCGATGATGCATATTGGATAGTTTTTAAACGCGAACATGGTTTTTTATCTTTTTTTATAAAAGTTTTTTTTTGATATATTTTTTAAAAAATACATTTTGTTTCGAGTAAACTTTTGGGATTTTCTTTTGGAACACAGTTTTTTTTCTTCAAAGTAACTGATACCTGCCCAAATTTATCAGTTATTATTCTGAAGATACTTACTCTCATTAACTAAAAAAACGAGAAGATCCTACTTAACATACAGATCTAATTCTTGTGTTTTTAAAATCTGGATAAGATTAAAGTTTTCTTCCAGCATTTTTTTTTAATTTTTCGAAAAATGGCTGGCTATAAATAATTGAAACACTCAATTATTTACAATAAAATTATAGTTTTATATAAAAATTATACAATTTAAAACAATATCGAAGAGCCACGGTTTAATCATTTAACAAGAACATTGAAATTTGACAAATCTATCTATCTTTACGTGTTCAGTAAAATTTTCAAAAATAAGTTTTGATAATGTTTTGAGAAACTAAAACTATCTAAAGCTGACCATATTGGAAGTTTTCATACGGCCATAATTTTACTAACCAGATTGCACCTAAAAGATTTCTGATATGATCTCAAATTTTGAACGATATTTTATCATATCGTGCAAAAATCTTTTTAGAAATGATTATTAAAAAACCGGATAATGGATTAAAAAGTTACATATTAGTGAAATATTGGTCACGTGGCTCAAGAGACCGCTGAAAAAATTTCTCGTTTTCGAGAAAAATTTGTATCAGTGTTCAGCGTTGATGAAGTTGACCGAAGAAAACGGCCAAAGATGGCCCAGATTTCTAACAACATCAATGTCCTAGAAAAGAGGCATTTTTTCTCCAAACGAGCCGAAAAACTTGAAAACTGTTTTAAAATCTAATTTGGCATTATATGTAGTAAAAATGACATTTTTGACCATCAAACAAAATTGCATTCATCTATCAAAATTTTTTTTGCAAAATTACATCCTGCTGAAACTTTGTTGGATTACATAAGAAAATCTCTTTGATATAATGTGGTCATTAGTTACACCAGTAATTTTGGCGTAATCTTTGATTGAATAAAATGAGCCAAAAATGATCCCCTTGTAAGTTAAAACTGTTGGCCCGAAGTTACCAAAATAAATTGAACCATATTACATCTGTTCAAAATCTAGGCAACTTGTGCTCCCATTTAGTTTTGTCTAACGTCAATCAAATTTTTAAAAACGGTTAATCCGGTTAATTTAAATCAGCACTGTACCATACGCAAAAACTAAATCAGAAAAGAAAACTGTTTTTTTTTTCAGAAAAGAACTAAATTTTGTTTCAGTTTTTGATAAAATAATCGCAAATCGTTCTTCGAAAATTTTTCGATTCTCGCAGTTTAGCTTGATTTTGGATTGTTATATTTAATATTTTCGGAATTAATGTTTTTGCGTTGATCCAACTGCGACTCTAATCGCAGACATGCTATCCTAAAGAAACGCTAAGAATCCTACAGAAACTCCTTACCGTTGATGATCAAGATTTTTTTTAAAGCTTGCAGAGCTAATTGCAGAATTTATCCGTGGAATGTTTTGCGAATCTGTTTTTACAATAGACACAATTACTTATTGCGTTGCAAATTAGTGAACCATTTTATCTTGAAAGTACCTGAGCCAAATCGAGGCCTGAGATCCTTGTCGTAGCATGCTGAGTTGTCGACTAATCTCTTACAAGTTCCAGTCGACGCTCTGCCTAACGCGCAGAGTAAAACTTTCAAAAATAACACAAAGTGCAGCAGCGCGGTTGTATGAAGGGACATATTATGTTGCGGGCTCTTGTTCCCTGTGGTAAAGTATGACAACAGCTTCTTCCCTGTTTTTGACGATGCAAATTAATAAAAACAAAATCAGCCTAATGGTTTGGGGGAATAGGAATCAGGTATTATTCCAGATTCACATCTGATGCCTGTAAATCTCAATTTACGGCTTTTCTTGGCTGAGAAGTATTTTCAGGATAACTTCATGATTGGCGAAAATAAGAAAAAAGTATTGACACTAAGTTATTTTTCCTATTTTCATTTGATTTGCAGCAGGCGCTATACGGAAAATGAGGAGACAATGGAGCGGTTTGAACAGAGATGCTAAATAATTGAGCAAAATAAAAAACGGACTAAATATTTGTTTGAACAAGCTTAATTTCGATTAATTTCCGATTATAGTTGAAGTTCCGATTATAGTTGAAAAATTATAGGCAAGTTTTTCGGCTTCAAAAAATACAAACAACAAGCAATACTACAATAAACAATCTAACAGGTAGGTTTTACTCTTTGAACTTTAAGGAAAATACGTTAGAGAAGTTTAGCATAGACCTGGTACCTATAACGACTTAATAGAAGGAAACTATTATTTTAAATCCTGAAATATAGCTATAAATCCTTACCTGCTCCAAATAAAGGTCTTAGATCCTTGTCATAGCAGGTCGAGTTGGCCGTGTTGTCTACCAGCTTCTCACATGTTCCCCCAGAAACACTCTTTGCCACGCACGCCAACAAAATCTCCAAAAGTAGCAGAAGCTGCACAAATTTCATCAGGTCAATTCGTGAGGTCATCGTGTAATTTCTTGATTTTGTTTTGAAAGTCGGGCAAGAAGAGGGTAAAAGCTTGGTATGGATTAGTAAATCAGGAAATAACTTGCGGCTTACAAGCAGAAATTATGCAAATTCAATTTCTTTGCAAATTATTAGACGTTCTACTGTTTTTCCCCTTTTTTTGCTTCAAATAGGTCGTTTTCAAAGACAAAAATAATTGGTCAAAAGGCTATTCTTAAAATCAGTTAAAAAGACGGCTAGCTATAATGGTGATAGAAACACAAAAAACCCGAATAATTCAGACCGACGCAAGGTTGGCTCTAAGACACATTTTAGTTCGGAAAAACAATTTTATGAACACAAAATAAAAAAAAAGTGTCATTATTTATGAAAGAGTCCGTTTGCAATCTGTGTGAAGCCAAGTACTCCAACTGCAGTTTGAACGAAATTCACTGACAACATACTGTGGAATTCTCAGGCAGCTCAGAGATCAAAAGAAATGAATTTTAAATAAGTTGGACTTCATAAATACGAATAATAATGTTTTTGGAAGTAATTAAGGCTCCTCTTCGCATTAAAAATGGCTGCAAGTTCCCTGAAGTGGCATGGTCAACCGGCAAACAAATGGTCGTAATCAAACCCACTACACTCTGAAAACAGCATTATTAAGGGCAAATCAATCAACATCAAATCAGTATAAAATACACCCGGCGGTAAAATACTCTTTTTTGAATAGTTCAGTCAAAAAGGACATAAAGAAGACTAGCTGGTTGCTGTGCAAGTAGCAGAGAATAACGTTCCGACTAATAATTATCAGACAATAATTATCAGACAATAAAGAGCGGAATAAAAAAGTTCGAAACTTCTCGATGCTTTGGAAAAATCACGGTCGGCTTGTTTCCTAGAAGATTAACCATGTTAAGCAAAATATACGTCGCAGCAATAACCAAGTAGATCACAGTCACTTTTGTAAGAAAAATGAAAAATCATTTATATATTTTTTCAACTTTTCAGTAAATGTTTGACCGCCGTTTTGAATAAATGATTGCTCTTCAGCAAAAGGAAACATTTTCTTGAGCAACTTTATAGTACCGTGTAAATTCATCTTTATATTTTTCAACCTATCGTTTTCGCATCAATTTAGAACAATTTATACACAAAAACCGATTATAATCTCTCTTTTTTTGATTTTATCGATAAAAGGTGAACAGGGGCGGATCTAGGATTTTCCCGAGGGGGGGGGGGGGGGGGGCGGATTTTCAAAAAAATTCGAAAATTTTGACGACTTTTTTTTTAGGTCGACCAAATTGATTTTTTGAGCTCTCCCAAAGCGTTGTTTTGACCTATTTTGGCTAAATTTTGTACGCCGCAGGAAAATTTTTGAAAAAACAGTCAAAAAAGGCATTTTTGGGCACTTTTTGAAAAATTTTGACAAAAAAATTGCGTTTTTTTGGCGCGCGCTCCCCCTCAAAGTTAGTATATATTGGCGCCTAAGGCGCCTTTAGAAAAATTTTAGGGTCGGTCGGCCAAAAATGGATTTCTGAAAAAGTATCAAAGGGGGGACCCTTTGGGTCGGCAGGGGGTCGAATCCCTGAGAAGAGGAGGCGTCCGACCCCCCCCCCGCCCCTCCCCCTAAATCCGCCCCTGAAGGTGAACAAGATTGCTCGTATATTGCGTCGAGGACCTGAAACTCAACGTTCTTACTACTCTTCAGTTGTACTTCAACAAATTTTGGAAAAGAAAAATTAGTTGAACTTTTAGTTGTATTATTAGGTTGTTAGTGTATATAGTTTGTTAGTGTATTTAGTTGAGTTTATTTGTAAAAAATTCGGACATTAATGTGAACTGTTAAGTGTTAAATTTTGAGTCGTACAAGGAAATAGTATGCCCAGCTGGCTTAATATGATGATCTCGGAACACTTTTGTAATCGAGATAATAAATCGTGCTCAGCTTTCAGCATAATTTAGTTTTCATAGATAGTTATTGCCGAATTGTTGTCGATATCGGTGACCTTGAGCAATTTAATCGGTCAAAAACTATAGCTGATTATTTTTGACACGATTAAATACAGGCAAGAAATAACAGATTTTATCAATATATTGATCTACAGATTGATCAAGATATAACAGATTTGAGAAACTTCAAACGCGTTTTTCTCAAACTTTGCTCAAAATGTTTAAAATTTTGTTCAAAATTTTAAAGCTTCAGCTTAACTTTCAAATTTGAGTTCAAATTTTAAAGCTAGACCTTCATCTTAGTCTTTAGCCGTAGAAAATAGTGAATCAAAGGGACAAAGTTAACATCCCCTAAAGCCAATTTGGCTCCAAGTTAGAAAAATTCAGCCAATCAGAACCGAGCATTATTATACATGAAGCTCTTAGCTAACTTTTAAACAAGCATTGCGCCAGTTTTGAGCTTTTGCATGCAAATTCGAAAGCTCAGGTGACCTTGAGACATTTTTTCTGTCTGAAAATCTAGTTTTTGCATGCAAAAGTTTTTTGAATTAGATCATTTGCTCTTTTCAATTATTTTTGTCTGTTCCAACTTTTGGCAACTCTCTATAGTTAGTAGCAAAAGTTCGAACAGACAAAAATAATTAAAAGGAGCAAATGACTTTTTTCAGAATATTTTTGCATGCAAAATTAATAGTCCAGACAGAAAGTATGTCTCAATGTTACCTAAAAATTCAAATATGCTAGCAAGAAACGCTTGAAATTGGCATATGGCTTTTCAAAATAATTTTTTCTGAATTTTTATGCCATTTTCTAAATATAGTTTCTTGCAAAGTGATCGGACAAGGTTTTATCTTTCTGAAACAAATCTGACCTTGAAATAGTGAAACATATATTACATTGCAAACGTACTTTAAAAATTGCATTTAAACTGACATAAGTTTTTAGAGGCCAGTTTTATGAATATTTTCAAGCCGTTAACTTTAAAACAATTTTCTTTCAGCAGCGATCTGACATGATATTTCTCATTCGAAAAAAGCACATAAAAATAAACGACAAATAAATTAGTTCGTTTATTCCAAAAAAAAAATTTCCATTGTGTTTCAGCTTGAAGGTCAGATTTATTTCGAAAAAATAATAAAATATGTCCGATAAATGTTTTGAAAGCTATATAAAACTTTCGAAAAATTCACTAATTAACCTTAAAAATTTTTGAAATAATTCTGAATTTTCGCATTTTCTTTTTTATTGGTATTGTATGCGTCGAAAATCTTGCATGCCATATAATTGCTTAAGGAAAAAATTTGATGAAGTGATTTTGAAATCATATGAAAAATGATGTCTCGTATAAACGTTGTTTTGACAGTTGAAATGTTGAAATGAAATAGTGAAATTTTTTTTGGATTTCTCACGCCATCTAACTTTCTCTACTTCAGGTTTTTTTTTATTTCGCAATTTTGACATTTCAATTTATAGATTAAGTCTTCAGTCAGTTAACAAATATAGAAAGTTGCAAGACATTGGAAGAAACAAATATAATAAAGAAGAGCAAATGAGAAACGTCTTAAATTTTTGAATTAGTTCTGGCGTCAAGCTGAAAATAATTCGAGGTTGATTTTTGAATTTTTGCGTGCGATTTTTGTAGCGGTTTTTAGTTTTTTTTGGCAGCAAATTGCATGGCACTTTGATAAAAGAAAAAACCCTCCTAATAAGCAAACATAATTAGCATTGCTTTTATAACAGTTCAAACTATTAAAAACTGTATAAAAATTATGATTACTAGGAAAAATTGGATTAGAAAAAAAAACAATTATAAAGAGCAATCTGCATTTTGCGCATTTTTAACTTTTAAACTTGATTTTTTTGGTGATTGTGAGTCGTTTTTTCTTGTCTGAAAAATTAGATTTTAGAGTTGCAAAAATTCGGACAGAAGGAATTATATAAAAAGATTAATCGTGCCATTTTGGCAATATTTGCATGCAATGTTGTTTTTTCAGACACCTTGATATTTAAATACGGTCTGATAAGTTAAGTTTTGCATGCAACATTTTTTTCAGACCAGGTAATTTGCTCTTTTTATTTAGTTTTGTCTGCCTGAACTTTTTGCTGCTAATTGTAGGTCATTGGCTCTTTTCAAATAATTCTGTCTGTTCCAAATTTTGCATTTGTTTTATGTTGTTGATGCCAAACTGTTAGAAATATCTTTTTGGTCAATGAATCTGAACAAAGTTGTTTAAGCTAAGACTGCGCAGTCTGACGTCAGGTTTCAATTTATCACTGACTTCTACGCGTAAAGTTTTGGAAATAAAAAAACTAAAATTTTGATCTTTTGACCAGTTAAATCATTGAATGTTTTGACCGATAAAATCAATAAAATGCATTGATTTATACAATGCTGATTTAAATTATCCTTAAGAGCTTGCAAAAACAAAATTTTCAAACGTGTTTCTCTCAAACTTTGCTCAAAATGTTAAAAAATTTAACATTTTGTCATGTGGGATATTGATGCTTCTACAATTATTCTTCAAAATTGCAGCAGTTTTTCAAACCTTAAAGAACTTGAAAAATCAGTTTTTTTTCACGATTTTTTTTCGTGAAAGTAAGTGGTTTTTCCAGATTTTTTTATTCAAGCTGAGAAGGGAATCAAAAAGAAATATAATTTTTTTACCACTTCTTCGTGGTATCTGACTTTGCGAGGAAAAAACAACTGAATGCTAATTTACTGCTCGCCTTTGGTGGTAGGGACAATAAAATTAGATCATCGACAGATCCTCAATAATCTAAAATTGGACTCTGACACTGTTTGTTTCATCTGACCCATGTAATTAGTGAAATAACCGATTTTGATGAGAAGCGGACCGCAACAATTTTATTTGGCCGTCCATGTACATTCAATAAAAATAGCACATTTGTATGTTCCAAACGAGTTATTTACAGGTTCGAAATCAATTTTTTGCTCAGGTAAAAATAGTTTAAATTCAAAAAACAAATCCCTCTGGAGTAAATGAAAAAGGTCCATACTGCGAGGTCCAATTAGTGAACATTTCATGAATGTTTTGAATAGGATCATTACTTTGGCGCAACCATTTGATCAAATTGGGTTGCTCTGTTTAATTCCAGTGGAGCTGGCCGACTGAGCCGGAAGTGAGCTTATAAGCTGAATGGTCGATTACAATATTTCACACGGCCTGCAAAATTAAGCGAATTTCCGCTCACCAGTAATAACATATAACTACAAATATTCTCAGGTTTTTACCTTCTAAAAAGTTTTATTGAAGGAGCAGCTTTTTGCAGTTTATGCGGATCTATGTGGTAATATTTGTATATCAAATACACTTAAGCAGTTACACAACGAAACTAGTGTAGTCAATCGCTTTAAAATTGCGCAGAAAGTTCCAACCTCAATTTTTGACAAGCAAACCAAACAATAAAATTATAAGGATTGTTTTGGCTCGACGTAGGCACTAATAGAAGATAACTAGATATTAATTACAGATTAAAGTATAAAACTATCAAATTCGTTTTAAACGGCTAGAAAATTGAAGAGTTTTTGTCGGCACTGAGTCGAGACATTTTTTTAAGATTTTTTTTGAATATTTTCTATCATATTTTCATATTTTGACCAAAGAGGAGCCAGTTTTTTTAGATGGAATTTCTATGAATTACTATATGTATCTTATATCTTGAATGCAGGCTA